TGTGGTTATCGTGACGACTCGTATACGTAACGGCTAATACAATTACGACTAGTATAATCGTTAATCACACAAGCCCAACCCTCAGGAATAGCCCATCGCGTTCACAACAACAAAATATGCAACTAGTTCAAATATATGCATGTACTCTCCAACAGAATTCCACGAAAATGGCCACTGTGCACTTCGAACTTCTACAGCTTTGAAGTGCGTTGTATGCATTGATATCTCAATCAAGACAATTCGATCAACTGTCAAAAGCAATCACATTATTAGCATAATAAACAAACTTTTGTATTCTCTAATGCTAAGACAATGAAACATACCAATAATTTGTATAGTATAGAATTTCAATTTCCTGGCTATTTCAATGGATGCATCAAGGTACTGTTGTAATGTGCCTTGGAGCATTTCTGCTCCTTCCAGTAAAGTCTTTTCAGTATCATCTAATGTGTGTTGACGATCCTGCATGGAAAGACCACCAGATGCCTCAATAATTGCAAATTCTCTATGTGTCATCTTTGCAATAGCCAGTGCATCCACTTTGTAAGTAGTCATTTCTTTTTTCAGGATTATAAACAAACTGCAATGCTTTGTTGAACATCATGTGCTTCTTGATCCTACATTAATGCTGGAGATAAGAATACAAAGCAGGAAAAAAGAATGGAGTGTAATAAAGCTGAGACATACCAGTAAAACATGACCAATCCAAATACAGATTCAATATACTCAAAAATAGTTGACACCTGTTCAACTAGAAATTTTCGTTCTGAAGCATGTCTTTCAATGGTCTGATTGTTTCTGTATCAGACCATAGTATAACTTTGCAGACAGTTATTTATACTGACATTCTAATTCATTCTCATGAATTCACGATGATTATGTGTATACTTACAAGTCAACGAGAGTACTATGAAAGATAAACTGTAATTTCTGATCTTGCTCACAAGCATCATTCAAAGGCACATTCACTGCCATGTCAAATGTGTCCAGAGAACTCTATAAACAGAATTATTAGTTTAATTTTTGGTCATATTATTGCTCCGCAACATAATAAGTCCAATGCTTACTGTGAGAGCTGTATGTAGCCATTTGACTAATCCTTCTGATAAACTCACTAACTTTGCTTGTTCACACAAATGGTATTTTATTTCTTGAGCAACATCTGGATACTTGAGTTCAAGATTACCCATAAGGGTTTTCAATCCTGGCACTATTCTTGATGACAAACTACAAAAAAGTGAAATATGGTTAATAACATGCTATATATATGGAATACAAACTAGAAAAAAGATCCACACCTCACTGCAGTCTCTTTTAAGAGAATTGGTTTATGTGGTGTTTCTGTAGAAAATGGTATGTGTGGAGCCTTGATATTTTTTGCCTTCTTATTCTTTGGTAATGGCATGGTGTCTCATATTAATATCCAGACATCTCCTCCTGATCTTCAATATTAAGCATGGCAACAATAATTCTCTAATTAGCAGACTGTTGGGCATCAATAAGTTGCTATCTTTTCACACATTTCTCAGCACTCACTTGATGTCCTCACTTATTTGATATGACATCCTCTAAATTCTCCTTGGCACCACAGTCGAGTGTGCTTGCATAATTTTGGTTTTCTGAAGTTGCTCACAATAGACCTTTTAACTATTTTTTTTTTTCAACATATAATTTTCTATAAGCTCATCACATCCACTGCTGAACATACCTGAAGATGTGTCAGCTTCATCTTTTTTAATTCGATTGTTGTAGCACTTTTCTCTGTTTCAATGGCCAGCCACATCTTGTCTATAGTGCTTCCCTTTTGTCGCTTTCACTATGCAAAAGGAGTTTTTTTTAGTTGAGTCCCACTACATCAAACAAAGAACTAATATAAATTGCAAGTAATAAAGCATTATGGCTGGCCACAGCAATCCTTAGATCATAAGTGTGCAACCCATAGGCTCATCACATAGCTGTGGTTGATACTGCAATTAAAATACCCCACTCTGCTAGGAAATAGCAGACCACAACGACCCGTAGGCCATCAAATACTCCAACTCGTAGTTGAGCATCCTTGTTGTGGAGAAAGCCAAACCACAAGTAACCATAGTCCATGTGGCCACAGCCCAAGGGGACCTTTATCCAGCCGCAACAGATCTGAATGAGAAATTTGTACTTGCCTTGGATTTATCCAAAAGTGTTACTGCCTTCCTTACTTTATCAACATTTCTTGACGTTTCAGAAATGCATTGCAAGTTCTTGATGAGCTGTTGTGCAGCCTTTGGATAGACAAGCTCTTCCAGGTTGCTCTTGTTCTGTTCTAACCGGAAACGGTGAAAACTAATAACTTCCCATTCATCAGGGCTTGTCTTTTCAAAATATGGATGTATTCTGAAAGTCTGCTGAGGAAAATTCTATTATTACTGTCTAAAAGGTTACTGCATGCAAAACTTATAAATACTTCACCAGAGTCTCTCTGTCAATAGGAGGATTTTCATTGTTTTCATCCATATCAAAATTTACGAAAACACCAACTAAATGGTAAACTTGAATAGCAGTCCGAAAAGCGACCTTGTAGAGAAACTAAGTAAAAACAACGATAAGAAGCAAAGCGGGCGCCACAGCAGTTAGTAGTAGAGGGTTCGGCAAAAAACAAGATTTGCGTACCTCATGTAGTCGAAGTTAGCGACAGCCAAGCTAATCAAATGCAGTATTCCACAGCTTAACTGCAGTGCTTCTTTAGTCAACAGGTACAAAACGCGCCGTTAACCGTGGCTGAAGCTGAAACGCTCGTGACTATTAAATTCATCACGTAATTACCATAGGGGTCAGCGGATCTATTACGTATAAATGTTTGTTGCACACATGATATTAAAACTCCACGGTTACAGCATAGTGAAGACGCGATATAGTGAATTTCCGATATACATAGTGAAAATTCCCGTCCCGTTGACTCGAGGTTTGATTCACATTACAATGGAATATACTTATCGTATATAATAATAATATGTACTTGCAACCACGATATGTGAAAGCACCAAAAGATACAACCAGAATAAACTTTATTTGTCGTTTAGCTTGACTGAAAGAATTTATGAATTTGCAATTTGTCGACCTGATAGAATGCATATCGATATATTATCGTTCGCGTTTATGGATTTGTGCAACTGGTTGAGATGTATAAAACGTAGACGTGAAATTACAATCCTAACGCGATTGAACACGCGTCCTATACCAACATGCCTGCTATTGCGAAGATTCCTGAGACTGTATCCGAATACGAGACTATCGTCTCATACCTTCAGTCAAACACTATACCACATAATATTCAAAATAACCGAGTATCGAAAGCCAATTTTATTCGTCGCTGCAAAAAATTCCTAATCGATGAAAGAAACATCCTTTATGTTTCCACCGTTCGTGACAATACCGAAAAGCGCCGCCGTGTAGTACCCAAATATGATGAAGAGCTACGTACGTTAATATTAGAACGATTTCATGACCAAGCGAATCATCGAAGCTACCATAAAACATACGCTGCCATTTCAGAGAACCACATCGGTATTACGCAGGAGGAAGTGCAAGAATATGTAAACAAATGCACCGCTTGCCGATTGTGTCAAGAGCCCCTTGGCAACATATCCAAATCGACCTTAGACTTCCACGAGTTTGTGGAAAACAACAACGAATTTGCATGGTTATTAACATGTGTCTGTACGTTTTCTAAATTCCTTATTGCGGTACCAATGAAAAATAAAGATGTATTCAAAATCTTAGGTTCCACCAGCAATACTTCAAAGTGATAATGGCAAGGAATTCGTTGCTAATGTCGTTACACAAATTTGCCAGACTCTTAGTACGGTGTATATGTTTAATGTTTGACTGTGGAGGAAGATTTTATCATGTGACTCACTTATCTGATTCATCAGATCAGCTTGCCTAACTTGCCTGATAGTCTGCGGCTCTTAAATTATCCCGAAATATGCAAACAACCATGTATTGATGATGGTGACATTGATGATGGTGACATTGATGATGGTGACATTGATGATGGTGATATTGATGATAGTGTTGAGCCACAGATAGTTAATGCCAACGACGCTGAAAATGGTTTAGAAACTGTTCGTTCATTTCTGCAGCACAAGACTCTAATAAGAGTTGCTAAAACACGTGAGAGTGCTTGAACATTACATTAGTTTAAAGTCAGTGAGTATAACGATAATGAAGCAACAACGAAACATAATATATATCAAGTCACGTGCGACCAATAAAATTCCGACCCTCTGTAATGCACCTCTAAATGCGGGTGTGCGTTTAGAGAGAGGGTTGACTGTAATATATTTTTGAAAAGTTATATAAGCTCGGTTGAATTGCAAAATCGCATAAAGCTAGTTAGTCATATCACATGATTTATTCATTTTAGCCTTTCTTCACCCTCTTCTGCGATTTTTCAGGCGTTTTCAATACTGCCATGATCCATGGCTCTGCCTCAGCATGTGTTGGTGTTGAAGATCTCAATATCATTGCCTCCTCAAACAGTGTCTCAAGGATTTGCTTTGATCGAAGCAAGAGTATCTATTGTACGAAGTTGAAATTGAAATCAACAAAAAGACTGTAAACTGCACGAGTTAATTATGGGACTGATAAATCTTACCTTTATACGTAGCACTAAGCGAAACATATCCAGAGCGTCGTGCATTCTGTCCAGAGATATTGGAATCCGCGCACACCCTATTTCAGAGATAGCAAAAACATTGCCGCCAAGGAAATATACAACGTGTGCTTTGACTTGATAACCGACAATGTGGACAGCAACAGCAAACAATGACTTGATGCCTTCCATGAAAATATTTGGTAGTCGCTCAGAATTGAGCTTGTTTTTGATGATCTTGATAACTTGAAGCAACTGATCACGAGCCGTTTTTGCTGCTTTGATAAAGTCTCCCTGAGGTTTATTCCTATCTTCGACCTGATCTGGCCCAGAATTCTCGGCAACGCCCATCTCGACACCACGAATATCGTCTGGAAGTATCGAATTGCACTAAAAGCCAGATGTAAGCACTAACTAAGAAGAATCATAAGATTGTAGGGAGAGAAAGTGCGACAAAGACTTACAGCAAACAACCAATCAAAATGATCCCCACAGCTTCCACGACGGTACCGCGATGCCCTCGATTCACCTTCGCCACTAAATGCAAGAATGCTATTAGAATTATTCTTCGATATGCAATGTTGTACCTATCATACATACTAGTGGAGATGTAAGCCTTCCCACAAGGTATCGAAAAAAGGATTGATCAGGTTGATGTCTACATCACGCTCTGTCAAGTTTGTTGAGAGCACTTCGGAACAAATGATGCGTCGGCTGATACACATACATTAACCATAAAATAAAAATGAGATATGGATGTATACTTAAAGGGCTCAAATTTGGACGATTATTTTAATTTTGTATAACATAGAAGGGTGAAAATAAGAAGTAACCTACCATTGATCAAGCACAAAAAAAACCCATTGTATCTCCTCTGATCCGCTGTCGACACCTTCCAAGTCTATTGGCATCTGATTGTCTGGAAGATCAACCACTTTTCTTATATGTGTCTCTGACTGTTCTTCCCTAAGCAGTTGTTCGAGGGTGGCTCGCTTTCGTCTTGAGTACTTGTCCATCATTATTCGAAGCCTTGTGAGAAGACCAGCGGCTCCTTCAGCACGCATATGGCTCGAAAGGTCTGCAAGTTGTTTTGACGGGAGCTACCAATAATGTAATTAAAAACAGTGATTTCTTTGTTTATGTAGCAAAATCGGAGACTTGCCTTTCCCAGTGCAATGAGGAGCTTCTTTACAGGATCAGGCGGATCAAACCTGCTGCTCATTGCAACTTTAGCCCTTTGTCCGATGACTTTCAAATGCGATTCATTCATATAATCAGCCGCACGAAATTCAAAAATCCCCGTAAATGGAGGACGAAGATCGAGTATGAGGTAATACATAGGGCTGTTAGAGAAAGATAAATAAAGACCTTTGCTAATAATATAGTAAGCACAAGCAACAAATACGTGCCTTAAATGTCCTAAAGGGGCATTTCGAACAGTCTCAACAGCTTTTCTTATTTCTTTTAGAACTTCTAGATCTTCCAATTCTGCAGCTTGTTCCTCGGTTTCTGTGCATAAATCCTCATTTTCAGAGTCATCACGTACTTTCTCTTTCTCTTTCTGTTCATCGGCTTCTACGTATTCTTGCTCTTCTTTTTTACGTTTCGCGGGAATTGTACAACTTTCAACAACAGTTTCTTCTGCCAAATTCTCCATCATATGTTGAGTCTTTCCTTTTATGATCACTCTGCACCTTAGCTTAAAAGAATACATGGTTAGCAAAAAACTTCAATAGAATCATAATCATCACATGATTATTTACCGAACGAAGCCTTGCCACTTTATCCAAGAATTCTGTTTCGATGTTATGCCAAAGGTCGTTGACACCGAACACATTTTTCCGGTGATCCTTGTAAAAAAAGAAATAAATAAGTTTAGAAAATGCATATTCACATAGGAATGCAAGAAGAGAATGTAGACTGCAAGGCTAGCACAGCAAACCACAAGGAACACGCAGTTCGTCACTTCGGCATCACGCAGAATATGCCTTAGCTTCTCATGTGGGTCATGTGTGACCGCTTGAGGTCTCGCTCGCCACAACGATCACGCAGATCAAAGGAAGATCCATCACGCAGATGACTTCCTTGTCGTGGAAGTTGATATTACTCTCAACTAGGCGGGAACCCATATTGCTTATGCTAGCCTTAAGAAAATGAATCTTGACCTTAAACTTTGATATCAAACGACAAGCATTTTCCCGCACTTCGGGAGAATTACTTTGTCTTAGAGTATCAAGCACTTTTTTTAGTTTAAAGGCTTCTTTTTTAAAAGAGTGGGTAAAATCGAATGAGGCGTGCCGGTGACGATAAAAGTCAAGGAAATTCCAACGTTCTGGTGATGTGTCTAAGAAGTATTCGTCTACTATGATCGACAAGATTTGAATGAGTTTGAATGCAGCGTACCCGCGATAGCCAAGTGGTAATAACAAAAGAGCTACATATATTGATAGTGGGATGATACTGTGAGGCAAGAATGGGTACCATTTGATTCGGACAAGACATTGGGCGGGCCCTCTGTCGCTGACTCTTCCGTAGTAACAATGTCTTCTGTCGTAGCTGAGTTCTCCCTAAAAGGAGAAGCATCCCTTGTAATATTCATGGCAATAAATTTCTGTCAATGAAGCTGGCGGTTGTGATATATGTCTGTAGTCGTGCAATTTACGCGTTCACTTAAACTTTGTCGCACGGTGTGATATTGTACAACTTGATCGGCAATTGCTTAGATACAATGTCTTGTTTCTCAACACTTATTATTAAACTAAATGCACATAATAATAACAATAATTAGAGGTCTTCGTTTCTTTCTTGGTTCCTTGTTAAGGTCCGTTTATGGCTAATTACTTTTCGTTCTTCTTGATAAATTTCATAAGTGATTTTCTCTTTATCTAGAGAATTTTGGTATCATTGATTTTAAACATAAAGAGCGATTTTTTCTCCTTGAGCTTGTTTTAGAATATTTCTAATGGTGCTATAATTCTTTGGTTCCATAATGGATTTAATGTAAATTAGTTTCATATTAATGTTTTGGTTAAATGCGTCATGATTTATAATGTCAAGTAAAAGTTTATTTCAATTATAATTAGTTGAGTGTCAGTCACATTTTTTGCATGATTATAGATTAATTAAAAAATGCAATCCATAAATTTGTACACAAGTCACAGCCAAAATTTCATTAGTCGAATTAGTTAACTTTCAGCCATACCAGCCATTTTTATCTCACATAGTCAAATGTTCACTTTTGCAAGCATGCCCCATGTAAGAATGGAATGACCTTTAATGAGTCATGCACAGTGATCAGTTAATATCAAGCCCAATTATGGAGTGAAGTAATCATTTTGCTTATGTTGGCATTTGGATAGGCAAAACCAAGCCTACATTTATTACCATTGAATCAAATTACCGGGTTCGAGGAGCTACCATAATGCAAGCGAGGGCTTCGAAATCTTATCACCAAAAAAGCGAGACGACGATGTACCATGCATGATATCACCGACATTGATCTCATGTACCTTCTTGGCGTTTATTTAACTTACGGAATTGCTTTTCCTTCTTTAGTCATTTACCGCGACGACGGCCAGCAGCCACGGTCACACATGTTATATGAGTTACACCTCAATATGACCTATACGTGACTAGTTGATGATTACTTGTCATCTTAGAGGATCTTTTCCAGCCTCATCTCTTTCTTAGTGCCTGTTCGCTTTTTGTTGTGATTTAATTGCGAGAGAACTCGGCGTTACTGTACCGCGAACTGTGTTGATATCTCGTCAACCGAAATTCTTGGTCGGTTTCCCTTACCATTAACGCCCATAAAACGACGGTACGAAAGAAGATAGGGAAGAGAGCAGTACTCTTCAGGTCCGTCGGTACTTCACATGTTTAATTTCGAACAGACGGTACGTTCCTAGGGGACTAAAATCAGTTACTTGGCTTGTGATTTATAGCTGTGCATCCAACACGTACCGAGGTAATCCATGAAATAAAAACGGAGATGCAACCCGAAGCATTGCACCATGTAGCTTCGCCACTGCGCTGGCAGCTTCCGTTTAACTTCACTTCCGAAATTACTACAAAGTTCATTAAATCTTTTGCTGCCCGTCCGTTTTGAATGTAATCCGAGGTTTCTTTTCTACGATCGATATGATACGGCTTGCTACCTTCTGTAACGGAAATCTCATAGGCTTTTTCGTCGGACGTATACGCGATTCCGTCCGCGCGGTCAGCGTTACCTTTCTGGTTTGTGACCAACTTCCGGTACTGGACGCGATAATCGCTTTGTTCCCACTAAACAATGTGATATTAATATAGGCCTGTGGGATGAGATCAGTTGAAACATGCTTACGGGACATAGCGATTTCCTGCAAACCGCATAAGCGTCTTCTTTAAGACGGGATGAATATACACGTTCATAAATTCTTCTTCGAGCATATCATTATTTTTTAAAGGATTATTTTCTGCCATCTCATATGCGTCGAGACTATCAAAGAGAAAAAAAGAATGTTAATGAACGAAATTTATTACTTCATATTGGAGTACTTACAGCGTTGGTAACATCTCGAAGATGAGCCTCTTCAACTTCTTTAGAAAAAGATCTGCTTCCGGTTCCAAAAGACTTTCCAAATTCTTTTGCCACTGTTCATAAGTGAGTCGCTGTCAACAATATAAACTATAAGTTAGATACATGATGGGCAAAATTTTCCTATACCGCAGTCAACACCCCGTTTAACCGAAGGACTAAGTAAATCTGAAGGTACAACATCTATATTAAAATTACCCCGCTAACAGAATTTCTTGCATATGTTCCGGACCCTTCGGTTCATTGTATAGAAGGCAGACAGTAGTACCTCAGAGAAAAAATCCGAAAGGAATTTAGTTGCATTCTCCGGAAACACCACGGGTTCAAAGATTTCTTTCAGAATTGTAATATAATCAGCTTCCTCTGCCCATCTTAAAACAAACTCAGACACTGGCGTCAGGTCCATGATCTCGTTATACGCCAATTCATTGCTTGTTGCTTCGCGATATTTGTGGAAATTCTCTAGTAATCTCGTCATGCTCAGAGAGCATTCCTGAACTTTGCTTAGCAGATTCTTTATTAAGAGACATCGGCCGTCGTCCTAATAGAATTTCGTTTAGACTATTGTAGTTGACATCTTTTGGCGGCAAATGACTCAATTTGCGGATATTTACTTCGTCATCTTGTTCTTGGTGAAAATTATGAGCTTGGGAAGAGGATTCAGTGTTTCCCCTTTCTTATGCTCACTCTCAGTATCACTAAGCAGCTCCAGAGGTTCACCTTAGCTATGCTTAATAAAGGATACATGAAATTATCAATACAGTGTATGACCCATACTTTGGGATAGAATGAGCAAACACTTGAAAATTTTACTGGATATAATACTGATCACCTGTAAAATTTCGAATGTCTCCTGCAAATTTTTTTAAACATCCAATATTTGTCTCTAAAACATATGAAAAGCTGTATGTTGCTTATTTCAACATAAACTTCAAAAATCCATATTAATATCTCCACATGTTTCTAATCAATTTGCATAAAACTTTTTTTGTTTTGTTTGTCAAATCTAACGTTAACATGCCTCTTTGGGTGGTTATAGGTTAGTTGAATTAGAACAAAATCATTATTATACTTGACAATAATGAATGTGCATGGTATTAATCCATGTTCTACAATCATTGCTTTTCAATTTATGGAAAATTCACAAAACAAGAAGGGCTTCATTATAGAAATAATATAAAAAAAAATTCTGATGAAACTATTTGCATCTTTAGTGTATGAAAATTGAATATAAAGTGAGAGTTTTGTTCCTGCAATGGACAACCCATCAAAATATGCAAATTAGTTATTCTTTATTCTCTGTCAATACACATAAAATTTGATATCTAGCCAATTGTGGTAGGAGTTACAGAAATATTAATATCATTATCCACATGTAACTGTTACCAGACTGTATATTTAATAATTCCTCTTATACTAATACTTATATTACCATAATAATAATAACCTTTGATGTAATACTGCTAATCACATGTTTTTATTGACTGCTTTACTGCTTTACATCTTTTTCCAATTCCATTTTTATAAAAATAGTCAAGTTTATTCTGTGCATCAACATGTCCTTGTTCAGCTGCCTTTTGAGATAATTCAATTGCCTTCTTAGCATCTTTATCTACTCCAATTCCCTTTTCATAGCAGAGACCAAGATTATATTGTGCAGTAGCATTTCCTTGTTCAGCAGCTTTTTGATACAATTCAACTGCCTTCTCAGCATCTTTATATACTCCAATTCCCTTTCCATAGCAACAACCAAGATTAGTCTGTGCAACAGCACTTCCTTGTTCAACTGCTTGTTGATATAATTCAACTGCCTTCTTAGCATCTTTATCTACTCCAATTCCCTTTTCATAGCAATAACCAAAACTATTCTTTGCACCAACATCTCCTTGTTCAGCTGCCTTTTGATATAATTCAATTGCCTTTTCAACATCTTTCTCTACTCCAATTCCATCTTCATAGCAAACACTAAGATTATACTGTACATCAACATTTCCTTGTTCAGCAGCTTTTTGATATAATTCAACTGCCTTCTTATCATCTTTATCTACTCCAATTCCATGTCTATAGCAATAACCAAGGTTATTCTGTGCATTACCATCTCCTTGTTCAACTGCTTTTTCATATAATTCAAATGCCTTCTTAGCATCTTTCTCTACTCCAATTCCATGTTGATAGCAATAACCAAGGTTATTCTGTGCATCACCATCTGTAAATAGCCGATTTTGCTATTTACTACGGAATTGTTTAATTGGTCAAAAATTCACTCCCATGTATTTTAGA